ATGTTATGCTCTTTGAGGGAGCAGTAACAGCTATTGATGTATCAGCGCCCTTAGTCATAATCATCTCCAATAATGTAGACCTTCTAATGCAACCATGTAGATGACAGTGTAGGTCTACTTTAGGTAGAGTTCTTATCATGGATACAAGCCGCTTCCGACTACCCCGTGCCCGCAGCCATCGCCCAGTGATAGATGCTGATCCAATGAGGATGATAGTAAAAACCCCTATAGAGGCCTTCCAATGATGCCTTGCCATAGCAGCTACTCTAGGTATGGTGTCCAATGCTGAGTGATACATGTTGCTAATGGATGGTGGTGGAGCCATAGTGTAGAAGAGGATGGCATCAATAGAGAAGGCAATAATAAGAGGGATAATACAAGCCACAATGAGAGGATGGGAACAAGGGCTAAACACTGTGTCATGATGGCAGTAAATGACAATTCAAGCTTACACATCTAGCAGGCCACACACCTGATAGTTATCCACACATATGTAGGACAATAGTAGCACTACTACTACCTGACCAACCACTGTTCATACTACAGCAAGAAGAATGATGATGATAACGGGGTAAGAGGACCTCACCTGTAATCAGGACTTCCGATCGCCTATCGTATCCGTATTTGGTGGGGGAGAAGTTGGTTCAAGTATAGATGGATCAGCATTAATGACGACTATAACACTAATATCTGATTATGTGGATGAAAAGGGTACTATGGTTATTATGGAGTAGCAGTAGGTGGCGGGAACATCAAGTAGGACTATTATTAGGATGATGATGATGATACTGCTACAAGGCCCGTGAGGGAATGGTCAGTAATAATAACGAGTAGAGGAATGTAAAGAGATACAACAGGTGTATATCAAGGCATTTACATGAAGTCAGCGTAGTCGTCATACTCATCATCATACTCACCATAGCCACCATCCCCATACCTAACTTGTGTACTGTATTCAATGGGTATTATCATTATTATTACATCATGTCGATCTCGGCCTGATAATCAACCTTGGCACCCTTCTTCATCTGTGATACGTCAGTAGCCTGTTTCTTACGGTTCCTATCCTTCTCAGCCTATACACCATAATACACTACTATAGGATGTCGTCACCGTAGCCTGAGTGACTACCTTCTCTTGCTTCTTTGATGTAACCAATGCTTGTAACTCCTTTATAAGCTTAGTACACTCATCCTGGTCCAACTTCTCTTCAACCCCTCTAAGGGTATCTCGCATGAAGTTGAATACAGCTGCCTTGGTACGGCAATCATTCAGTTTACCAACACACCTGCTCACAATGATTACCTCCATCACCATCATCACC